TATAAACATTAAATATCAAACATAACAACTACTAATGACACTATATTCTCATCTAGAAAATCCAACAATATTAGAATAATAAGCTTATTAAGAACATAAGAAGAAAACAAAGAAGCAAAAGAAGCTTAAAGAAAAGATGTTAATATCAACTATAGAACTCCCCAAGCAATAAATAACCTCGAAGTTATATATTTAAAGCTTCAAATTCTATTAAACAAAAAGAACCATGCAAGTATGCATGAAACTTTTTGAGAGACTTTCTTTATTGTGGAGTAGTTCACTTTTATTAGTTGTAATATAGGTGATGTAAGTCAGAAGAATTAAGTTCATGCTACTAAACTTCACAACTTTAATCCCTTTTTGCTTCTGGAAAACCACATAGGCTTGGCAAGGCAATCCAAAGAGAGAAGCTGCAGGAAAAATCTTTTACTTCTCTCAGAAACTAGTTGGTTTAAACCTGCTGCCTTGCCATAGACATATGAGTTGTGAGGAAAGCCATTGTTCCCTTTTCAGTCTTCACCTAGCAGCCGTAGCCAGCAACACAGTGGTGGAGTCCCTTTGACGCCACCGCCACAGCAAACATTCCTGGAAATTCTGTCAAAAAAGTGAATGGCATAGGCGCCACACAGTACATAGAAGATGCCTAGAATATACAAATGCGTCCTAATGCTTTGCAGTGGCAACACAGGAGGTGGCAATCAGTTCTTTCATGCATTGGTGGAAGTCCTGGCAGTCAGCTAGAATGTGAACATCTTGTATGTTCTACTATGTATAATATGACAGCAGGCACAGCCCTCATAGGCTGAGCAAGGTAAGCTTTGACACTACCTCTCACGAATGGCTCCTCTTCCAAAAGCATCAACTCAGCCGCTGCATCACTCTCGAGTTCCGATGCCGCTGCGTCACTCTCCAGTTCCGATGCATCCATCGATGCCACCCTCAGCTTTAGGGTTTGGACGTTTAGGGTTCTAAGACTCTAGAATAAGAATATTCTGGATTTAATTCAAACATGGATTATAATTCTTCCTAACCTTAATCAGGTAGAGAGCTCTGCATGTAGCATAAATTCTGACTTAGAAGCGTTCAATCATAATCCCACACATCACTTTTTTAAGATCAAGAAAA